CTGATGACTGATGTACACAGTTATCACAGCATTGTAGAATTTGAAGCCAGTGGCATAGCTTAATTCATTCAGTTAACGTTTGCGTTAACTCTTGAGGACCTTCTGTGTTTCAAGCAGTTGGAGCAGGCCCAATGAATACAAAAATGAATTAAATCAGATCCTGACCACAGGGTCTAGACAGTCACACAAATGGATCTGGAGGGTGTGTGACTTAACTACCTGGCTTTCAGCGATTGTCCTGCTGCTCCTTGCTTTTGTACCCCATCTTCAGATTTGCTTTCTGAAAGCGGTTGTTTCTTCGCTTTAAAATGAGGTTATCTTTGTTGTTTATTAGTTAACTTTGTTAAAATTCTTTATAGTTGTCAAGTTTTGTTTGTTGTTTGTTTTAGTTTAAGGGATTCTCTGATTTTCCTATTGTTATCAGAGGCGCTGCTAGTTGACTTGCCTGGTGGCTCAGATGGTAAAGAATCTGTCTGCAAGGCGGGAGACCTTGATTCAACCCCTGGGTTGAGAAGATCCTCTGGAGGAGGAAATGGCTACCCACTCCAGTATTCTTGCCTGAAGAATTCCATGGCGAGAGGCACCTGGAAGGCTACAGTCCATGGGGTCGCAAAGAGTTGTTCAGATGACTGAGTGACTTACTTTCACCAGTTGTATAGGGTTATTTACTGCTTCCCTGGTAGCTCAGCTAGTGAAGAATCCGCCTGCAATGCAGGAAACCCCAGTTCGATTCCTAGGTCAGGAAGATTCCCTGGAGAAGGGATAGGCTACCCACTCCAGTATTCTTGGCCTTCCGTGGTGGCTCAGCTGGTAAGGAATCCATCTGCAATGTGGGAGACCTGGGTTCGATCCCTGGGTCGGGAAGATCCCTTGGAGAAGGGAAAGGCTACCCATTCCAGTAATCTGGTCTGGAGAATTCCATGGACTGGATAGTCCATGGGTTTGCAAAGAGTCGGACATGACTGAGTGACTTTCACTTTCAGTTCAGTTCAGCCACTCAGTGGTGTCTGACTCTTTGTGACCCTGTGGACTGCAGCACGCCAGGCCTCCCTGTCCATCACCAACTCCCGGAGTTTACTCAACTCATGTCCATTGAGGTGGTGATGCCATCCAACCATCTCATCCTCTGTCATCCCCTTCTCCTCCCGCCTTCAATCTTTCCCAGCATCAGGGCCTTTTCAAATGAGTCAATTCTTTGCATCAGGTGGCCAAAGTATTGGAGTTTCAGCTTCAACATCAGTCCTTCCAGTGAATATTCAGGACTGATCTCCTTTAGGATGGACTGGTTGGATCTCCTTGCAGTCCCAAGGGACTCTCAAGAGTCTTCTCCAACAGCACAGTTCAAAAACATCAGTTCTTCTGCACTCAGCTTTCTTTATAGTCCAACTCTCACATTCATACATGACCACTGGAAAAACCATAGCTTTGACTAGACAGACCTTTGTTGGCAGGGTAATGTCTCTGCTTTGTAATATGTTGTCTAGGTTGGTCATAACTTTTCTGCCAAGGAGTAAGCATCTTTTAATTTCATGGCTGCAGTCACCATCTGCAGTGATTTTGGAGCTCCCCCAAAAATAAAGGCAGCCACTGTTTCCACTGTTTCCCCATCTATTTGCCATGAAGTGATGGGACCGGATGCCATGATCTAAGTTACTGAAACTCCTTACCAGAGTTAGGTTTCCCTGCAGGCTCGTGACTGTGGTCCCAGCTCTACTCTGGATGTCTGAGCTGTAGCATAACAGTGAAAGGGAACCTGTGCCCCTGTTGCTTCTCTGCTGAAGCACAGGAGTAGGCTTCTCTCAAGTCTCATCCGAGCAGATTCAGCCATCTCCCAGTAAGTGGCCCTGGAAGCAGATTCCTCCAGGGGGATGGAGCCCTTGGTGTATTTGGCCCCTCTTTGAGGACCATTGTGGTCCATAGGATCTGCCAGACCCTAGGTGCACTACCCACATTAAACTGCCAGTTACCCAGAGAAAAAGGGGGCAACAGAGGATGAGATGGTGCAATGGCATCACTAACTCAATGGACATGAATTTGAGCAATCTCCGGAAGATAATAAAGGATAGGTATTCTGGGGTGCTGCAGTCCTTGGGGTCACAAAGAGTCAGGCACAACTTAATGACTGAGCATCAACAAAGGATTTATAGCTTCTGCTGGCTGAAAGACCTCAGTGAACTCTGGAAACCCCATTTTCTGCCCACATCTTGAGAAGAGGCCTGTTTTCTGTGCACAGATCTTTGCTCAGCATCAGAGAGGATGCAATCAGTCCTCCCATTCCACCCGCCTGCCTGATCCATGGGCTGTGAGATCCCAGGAAATAAACTTCATCCTCTGAGATATGTCCAAGTTGTGCCATTGCCTGTGCCTTAGTCTTTGTAGGCCTCTGGAAAGGAACTAAACATGATTTCAGATTTTAAAAGCATTAAACAAAGTGAAAAAGAAGATGCAAACCTAGAAGATTAAGTGGAACAATGTTCAAGAGATAAAAATTAAGAAGGTAAAAATAAAATGAGGTGAAGAATTAAATAAAATAAAGTTTCCCAGAGCAGAGGAATGGTAAAATTCTGCAGATTAAAGGGCTTATCAAGTCCCCAAAAAGATTAATTATAACAAAGACACGCTTAGGCACACCCTAGTGAAAGCAGTTAGTCTTTTTCTTCAGGCCTTCAGCTGGCTTGATGAAGCCCAGTCACATTGTGGAGGGCAATCTACTTTATTCAAGGTCTGCTAATTTAAATGTTAATTCCATCCAAGAAATACTTTCACAGAAACATCTGGAATGTATGACCAGGTAAAAGTGAAATAAAATATAAATATAGATATTTTAGATAAAATTTACTTAAAATAGAAAACTATTTGGGATTGTTTTTCCTTAAGCTTATTCCTTTCTGTATATTCTTCTGTATATGATTTATTTCTAAATGATATAATTGTCATAGGCAATCTAAATTTAAAACTAAGCTTATATCTATAGATAATCCATTTTAAAATTCTAGTTTTCAACACATTCCTATCTTGAAGTTGAACTGTAAAATATGTATTTTTTTTTCTTTGTACTTTCATAAGCTAAGGATGTAGATTTTACGAGGTTTTAGTTTTTTTATTTTTTCCATCACTTTGAAATTACTTTCTAATTGGATAAGAAGTTTAAAATCAGTAATCAGCCTAGGCCAGTTTTATGGCAGTCAGATTATAGTAGTGAGAACACATACGTAAGATGTTGCTAATTCCTGAACCCTGTGGTATGACCACTCTCATTTAAAAGCCAGAGTGTCGTGCCAGACTGTTCTTCGTGGTTGCAGCTAGAGAGGGCTGTGAGAATGTGGGGGCTGGAGAGACGAGGATTTCACCATGAGTTCTGTACACTTCAGTGTCCTTAAAGTCTACAGGAAGAGTCAGCATTATGTGAATATTTTCAAATATGTTTTACTTGGGTTTTTCAATTGTTTATTCAAGGCCAGTGTTATATATAAATAAAAGTGTATTTCCATCACAATTACTTTAAAGACACAGTTATTATTAATACATTTAAGACAGAGCTGTTAATTTGCTATCTAGTATTTCTTCAAAGAAGGACACCTGTTTTACTAGAGTCTTAAGGTCAGAAATCGTAATTTATCCTTTATCATCTTATCTTTTTTATTTTTTATATAGTTTTTTAAAAACTGGAGCATAATTGCTTTACGATGTCACGTTAGTTTCTGCTGTACAGCATCTTGAATTAGCCATGTGTGTACATGTATCTCCTCGCTCCCACCCCGCCATTCTACCCCTCTAGGTCATCACAGAGCGCTGAGCTGAGCTCCCTGTTATAGTTTATCTTTTTCACTGAGTACCAAACAGCCATTTGAAACTGGAATAAATATTAGTTGAGTGAATATAGTAGTTTATACTTCACTGGCTAACAGTAGATATTGAGAATATTTTTTTAAACGAAACAAATTATTTTTTAAACCATGTTTAAATCACTTTGTTCATTTTGAACATACTCTTGCAAAAGTGATCAAAAGCGATTTCTTTGTATTCATCTCACTTACTTATTGTCCTTTAAGAAAAATGGCCTACAGTTAAGAGTTACAGTTACAGCTAAGAGTTAAAGGCCTACAGATGAGAGTACCTAGTGTTTTGTTTCAGCTAAGAATTGAGATATTTGCTATTGACAGTGCTTTGCAGTTCTCACTTCTAACCATCCCTGTGTGACAACTTTTAACATTATTTAAACAAACTATTAAACTCCTCACCTGTTGCTTTGCTGACTGAGATTGAAAAGTGAGTGAGAGCCACACCTGTGTTCATTTTAAACTTGACCTTGACTTTGAACCAGTATCTTTACAGATGAGATGCAGTGTGTTACATCCTCAGAAGATGTTTATTACAAAGGAAGGTAGTAGAGGACAGTGGGGATAAAAAGATAAATCTATGCATGATAAAATGATTTTTCTCAAGGTTAGCAGTCTGTATTGTCATTTTAAAGGAGAGAATGAGGGGAACTATTTTTCTTCAAGTACCTCTGTGGTGATTGAATATAACAGCTGACTATCATAGTAGGAAGTCAGATGATCAAAGGGAAATTTGAACAGATTTATTTATTCTTTTTGAGAAAATAAGAAAGTGATTCTTTTCGTAGACTTTTCATATTTCTCTATGAAAACTCGATGACCTCAAGACAAAAGCAAAACTTTGATCTAAGAAATGCAGCAGAGGAAGATAATGGTATAATTTTTGAGCTGAGAACAGAGTAAGGACACATCTTGTGCTGTTGCTGTAAGACAGTTGAATGGGAAAATCGGCTTTGCTCACCTTCAGTCAGATCTCTTAGTTAACTGAACTCTCCAACTGTTTCTGACCAAAGAATTCATGATGCCACTTTTAAAAGATTCTGCCCTCCAAGTGAGGTTTTTTCCTTATAAGCTGTAGGAGTTATGTCTTGCTGACACGAATGTTTTTAAAATAATGTTTAGGTATAATAAGCAAATATTCACAATCTTTTCATTTCACAGGGATTATGAGCATAGAAAGAAAGCCTTGTAACCACCATGTAGATACAGCACCAACGGTAAGGCAATCTGTTTCTACATTGCTAAAACTGTTAAGAAGGCAAAAAATGGTACTGGTTATAGTGAGACAAAATGTCATTGTAGAGAACTCTTATAACCTACCTTTTGCCAAGAGTTATATCTCTTTAAAAATTAACCTTAATGAAGAAAAGCTACCAATTTTTGCTAAGATACGGGAAAGTAAGATGCTGTATCAATTTTATAAGTACTTATTTATATTAGTGTTATGAATAGAATGGTTTTTAATTTAAGAAGCTTTATACTTTTGATAAAGTACTTAGCATCTTTATGCAAATTGATATACACCCTTGTGAAATTGAGCGTTATTTTGTGCACTGGCATCATGATTTTTAGAGTGAATGTTTTGTAATAGTGAAAGTAGGCCATTATGCTTCATTTCTCCTGTAGATTACTATGCTTTATTACTATAGAAGTGAAATCTAATCTTTTACCCCTCTTCTATTATGACCATAAAACAAAATACGTTTAATAATTTTGGTCTCTATTTATTAAAAATAATTATAGAAGATGGTATTGAAGGAAGACAATTAAATTTCCCTTTTAATCTCTGTACATAGTATTTATATGTATGAAATATACTTCAGTTGCTGGTTCCCACTTCAAAGATTCATATAAAATAGACTAGAGTATATCTCTTACTAAACATATTATTGTTTCTTATCCTTTCACATAATAAATCTTTCAAGTACTCCATACAATTGAGCATTTCCTATTGTGAGAAAGCTTTACTAAAATACCATTTTTAAGAAAATAAAAAAGTATTAAGCTGTATTTGAATTTTATTGATAATCAGTATTTTTCTCACAGACAAATTGATTGCATTTTCTGTTTGTAATAAGTCCATATAATTGATTCGGCATGTTTGGTAACTTAATGTGTGGGGCTTCAGAAAAGACTGGTGTTTGAGGAATTAATCATCAGCATAATCATGAAAAGTACATAATCATAGTGTGTTCCTCTTATCCTTTAGTGAGTATGCTAAAAGAGTAGCCATTACATTATGTAAATTTTATTCATTAATATTAAAAATAGAAGGCTATAGCAGCAAAGTACTCACAACCCCCTTCTCCAGTAGGAGCAAGGAAATGGGTTGAGAAAGGCTCACAGCAGACAAAAAAAAGATGGCAGCAGCAAGAACTAGAGTCACCAAATCATTGTATCAAGTAATGCTACTTTTGCCCTTTGCATTTAAAATATTGGGAATAAGAAAATTATGCTTTAGCCACATTTCTAGATACATCTTCAGTCTGAGATGAGAGGTGCTGACACCAGAGCTGATTCTACCAAACTGAAGTACGTCTAATAAAACTAGACCTAGAGTATACCGGGCTGTATGGGATGAACAATGAGGAATGAACATTGTGAACATTGTGAAAGTACCTACTGTGATGCTGGCATATTTAGGACATGGTCATGGACTTAAAAAAAAAAAAAGAAGGAAGGCTAGCAATTATACAAAATTAATTATTTCAAGCTATTTGAATAATCTACTCATTTGGTTATATACTTTTGAAATTTATTTTATTCCTGTAGGCTTTTCTGCAGCATCCTGTTTGCATTTCTGGGTGTTTTGTACATTTTGGAACTCAGAAAAGTGCAACCTGGCACGTGTTTTTGTCTCACCCTGTAGGCTGATGGCAGATTCCCATGTTAATTAAATGATAATAGAACCAAATATTCATGAAATCCTGAGAAATAATGATAGTACCATTTGCAGTAATGCCCTAATCTCAAGTTGACGCCAGTGAACTAGGAACAAAATCAAATGCATAATAGTTTAGATATTGTTGGTCTTTGGTTATGTTTGCCCAGTTGGATTATTAAATGATGGCTCCTAATATATTAATAACATTTATATTCTGTGTAGTCGATAAGTTTGAAAATACTTCATTTATACAGACACTCTCCAAACACTCATTAATTCCCCAGGTTCGATTTGAACCAGTCTTCCTTTCTGACATCTCTTTCTGAGCTCTTCTCCTTTGTCTCTCTTTGGCAAATTAAGCTTATTATACCACCTTTCTCCTCTTGCCCACAGTCCCGCAGCTTGCTGACTTACCAAAGTTACCCTTGGCCCTTTCTCCATAGCCACTAAACAGAATCACAACTCTGTTCATTACCCAGTCTCCCCTGGGCCCTAGGGTAGGTAAAGTCTAATTTTCATAGAAATATAATTTTACCTAATTTTCATCCTTTGTATCAGTGTGCCCTTATTTTCCCTAATGAGTCGAAGAGAAGAAAATATTTAGAGATAAAAGAAATCAGAAAAAGTCTGTCTAAAAATTTAGCAAAGTGCAATATATATAAGTTCAAACTTTTCAGCCAATACTGGCTGAAAAGGAGATACTCTTTGGGCCTGGGGAAAAAAAATAAAGGGGGAGTGGGCTAGGATTTCAGAATGGCTGCGGCTCTGAATGACCCTTGGTCTCATACCCAGCCACCAATTTCTAGCTAACCTCTCTACATTTTCTCTTCATCCAAGTACTACCATGAAATGGCTGGGATCTAAAAGGGTGCTAGATGCTAGGTATGACTATTCAGCAGGGGAAGGAAACAAGACTTTCTCAGGCCTCCTTGAAGGAGAAAAATGTGTTTCTTAGTGTTTCAAGCTGGAATGAACCTTTCTGTAAATACATGGTTACAGAGGATAGCTTGATCCTGTAGCCTTATAGTGGTATGCACTATAAGTGGGCTGTGCCTATATTAAGTGAATGTAGGTTAGCCTAAGAACAAAACCCCTTTGTCCCTTGGTTCTGTGTTCTTTCTCACTCAATTTACTTGTTTCCTTTTTTCCACTTATTACATGAATTTTAATTTACTTAGATTTTTTTTTCTTTTTGATATGCATAATACCAGTATCTGTGTTTGGAGGTGTCTTTGATACAAAGGAAAACAGAATGTCCCCACATGGCATGACCTCCTCCACCAAGAAGAATCAAACCTCTCTTCTTCACTGACTATAATCATTACTTTTTTTTTTTTTTTTTTTGCTTTCAGAGCTCTGCATTTTGTTCATATCCAGGCGTTTATTTTCAAGTTTTTTTTTTTCAAGAAATAGAAATTGAAAGTTATATTACCTCAATCTGCATTTTTAAAATATCTCTCATTTGTCTTTGCACAAGAGAGCTTGCCAGGGGTTTAGTCCTTTTCCCTTCAAAACACTTGGAAACTGATCATCTATTGCCTTTTGTCATTTAGTAGCTTGGGAGAGACAGTACATATCAGTATGACAGTTATCCCTTTGTATAGGGAGTCTGTTTTGCCTGTTCACATACTACAGATTTTCTTGTATTTTCTGTATACTAAATATCTTAGCTCAGATTTGATGCATAAGCATGTGGCTTTCTTCTCACTGATTTTTGGCCTGAATGGTATTCACTCAGGTATGTTACTATCATAAGAAAAGCAACTAAGACATGATACAATCATAATATTTAGATTATTGTTGTTTAGTCTCCAAGTCACGTCCGACTCTTTTGTAACCCTGTAGACTGGAGCCTTGCCAGACTCCTCTGTCCATGGGATTTCCCAGGCAAGAGTACTGGAGTGGGTTACCATTCCCTTCTCCAGATTTTCCCGATCCCAGCTCAAACCTGAGTCTCCTGCATTGGCAGGCAGATTCTTTACTTCTGAGCCACCTGGGAAACCCTAATATTAGTTTATGTGAAAATAATTAGATCATGCCACTTTAAGAGCTAGTTGCTGCACCTGCTTATAGCCTACAGCAAGTTAAGGATAATATCAAACTCAGATTAATCAGAGGTCATTGTCTGAACCCTGAAAGACAGGTGTAAAAGTTAGTTAATAGTTAAATCAGCATAGGCTTGAGTCCCATAGTTACTTTAAATAAAGGACTTATTTGCAAACCAAAGAGAAATAGCAACTAGCATAAGGAAGTCTTCCACCCACATGTTTGGTCTTTTCTTATTGTAAGTTATTACACGAGAGACATAGTTAAAACCTACCTGCCCTTTAATGTACAATCGTATGCACAGCAGTTCCCGTAGCTTTTCCTATTTTCTGGTGGAATTAAAACATGGTAAACCATGTTGAACATATAAAGAATTTTTAGTGATTTGAGGAAAATTGTTTTTGAATCTCTTCCAGTGAAAACAGGTAAGGTAAAATTCAAATAACATCAATATGGCCTATTGTAGTCAATCATTTTTGTAAAGTTTTTATTGAGAAGTGAAAGTGTTAGTCTAGCCGCTCAGTGGCGTCCGACTCTTTGCGACCCCATGGACTGTAGCCCGCCAAGCTTCTGTGTCCATGAGGTTCTCCAGGCAAGAGTACTGGAGGGTCTTCTCCGGGTGATCTTCCCGACCTCGGGATCAAGCCCAGGTCTCATGCATTGCAGGCAGATTCTTTATTGTCTGAGCCGCCAGGGAAGCCCAGAACTTCTGTTGATACATTCCAAACATGTAATACTATTTCTTTTTTTAATTTTATTCAGTGATCTCACAACCTCACTGATGAGAACCACTTTTCTTTTAACAGAGGGATTTTTTGTCAGTTTATGAAGTTACAGCTTATGTTTTCATAGAAGTCTACACATCTACCATGAGTTGAAACAAACTCCAGGCTGTCTCATAAGAATTATACCAGTTATGGAACACTTCTGCCATCTGTCTAAGTGTTGCATAAATTATTAAGAATTAAAATATCCTAGCTTGATTGAAAATTTAAATGTTGATTCGTTATTCTTCATTGTTGTAAGACCAATTTAACAAGCTATTCATTTATTCTGCAGTTAAACTCCCTCTAGGTTTTCTAAGGGTTTGATTGATAAACTTTCATCATATGATTTTTCATCAGTGGTTAACTTTACTGTGTTTTAGAGTATTTTCCTATTCTGAAAATGTATCTGAGATATTTGCAGTGTTGCTTGCCCTTAACAGTAAACTTGTTAATAAATATACATACAAATTAAGCTTTTTTTCTGAGCCTCTTTTGGATTATATGATTATGGTTTATATGA